GAGTCTTGGGCATGGTTTACTGGTAATGATTTATGTATAGACCTTATAGACATATAGAGCAGAGTACAGGGTATACCTCTAATAGAATGGATTAAATCACGAATGGAGGAATATTGGATAATGACTGCTTCTAAATAGCAAAAAATAAGAATTAAAGTCCGATATCTCTAGCATGAAAGTATGTACTACCTATGCAATTAGGTACGACAGGAATGAAGTTTCCTTGCCTGAGATATTTCTTAGGGGGTGACCGGGCACCGTTGAGTTACATCATTGCCGAAGCCCCGCCCCCACTATTAGTCATTTAGTTTCGTAGGTACCTCATTTAAGCTTTCGCCATCAAACAGTAAACAGTGCAAAGACGCAAATCGCAAACGTTTATATTTCGCGTTCAGCCTCCCATGACGTGCCACCTTTCCTAGACACTAACTATCTTAGATAGCAAATTACCAAGTTACCTAAGAATCAATCAATCGACATGTCGAGCAGACAGCTAAGAAAGCTCCAGAAGCAAAAGGAGCTTGAGGAGCTCCAGGCGCAGAACCCCGCCGGGGATGACAGATCGAGCGAGGAAGACCGACCCGCGCAGAAGCCAAAAGCAAATATTTCAGTGTTCGCCGCCCTGGGAGACCAGGACGAGGATGACGAGGATGACGTTGACGAGACGAAGGAAGAAGAGTTAGTTGAGGCGGCGACCAAGCCTACCACTGGAACTGGAGAAACCAATACGCCAAAGGGCTCATCGAAGAAGAGTAAAAAGAAGAAAAAGAAGGCCAAAAAGCAAGCTATTCCCGTCAAGAAAGAAGCGGGTTCGAAGGGTGCGCAGGACGAGATAGATCAAGCTCTCAAGGAACTCGAATTATCTAAAAAGACTAGTGAGGGAATGGAGCGCAGTCATTCTTTCGTACAGTCTTACGACCGAATATGCGAGCTGCTGAGCATCAACACAACCCACCTCAGAGTCATCAACGAGATGCGCAACCTCTTTGGCCGCGAAGCTATCGCCGCCGCTCAGACTGAGGAGGAGCAAGAGCAGGCACGATCTAGGCGACCGCGACAGCACTTGCCTCAACAAGTGGACTTGGAGACGTTTCTCAGGGGAAAGCCTGGTCAGGGCCTGCTGGATGTCACAATGCGACGGAACCCTTTCTTAGCTGGGAAGGAGACTTGGCCACGTGCTCCTACCGAAGGCTTAACGATGGAACAACTTAAGGAGCAAGAGGGGGGAGTGGTTTGTATGCCTGGCACTGTCGAGTTTCGTTTTGTGCACGATAAGAATTACAACGCTCTAGAAAGAAGATTCTATGACATCGTCCAGGCCTATGACCCGATGCAAATCGTGCATTTTCTACAGCTCCATCCCTACCATGTCTCTAGTCTTATCCAGGTCAGCAGGGTCGCTAAGCAGGACCAGAACTTGGCGCTCGCGGCCGATCTCTGCGAACGAGCTCTCTTCACCTTCGGCCGTGTCTCAATATCGTCTTTTCGACAGAAAATAGAACAAGGCAAGGCGAGATTGTCGTTCAAGAGACCAGAGAACCGACAGTTCTGGCTGGCTGGATATCACTATCTCAAAAATCTAATCATGAAGGGTACCTACAGAACCGCCTTAGAATGGTGCAAGCTACTCCTAAGCTTAAACCATGACGATCCTTACGGGGTTATCCACTTCATTCATCCGCTTGCCATTCGAGCGCACGAGTCGAAATGGTTCATTGACCTGTGCGATTCGGAAATCTTGGATATGGACTTGGCAGCCCAGGACGCCCAAGATTATATCAGACAGACTCTTATTCTTGCCCGACTTCAGCAGCAGGATACCGCTGGTGCTAAGGTGCTACTGGTTGAAGGCATGGATCGTTTACCGTGGCTCTACAGCCATCTTTTCAAGACACTCAATTTGGACGTACCTAAGGCTATATGGGGCTGGCAGCCGAGAAACCAAGAAGAGGAACTACATACAAACGTCTATGTCCACCAGACAAAAAGTCTATGGGACAATACGCAAGCCAAGTCTCTATTAAAGGAGGCAGCGAATGAAGCAGGGAGGGAAGACATCTGCAATGTCCTCGCACCCCCTCCTTCAGTTAAGGCCAATCTTGCGCGATTCGTTTACCTACTAGAGATTCCCTCGTTGATAGGTTTAATACCCCGCGGGTTGCTAGACACAGATGTGAACTGGGAATTTGACCCGCTTCCGCCCCAATACGAACAGAACATCTTCTCCTATGATTCGCAAAGGCGACCTTGGCTTTCCCCGCGAATGGAAGAGTTGCTCGGCGGCCCAGGAGATCCAAGCCCCGAGGCCGTTGCGCAATTCATAGCCCATGCGAGGCAGAATGGGGCACCGGTTCATTTCCAAGAGGTTCTTGAAGAGTTCCTACGCAACTACGAGGGCAACGACCATGATGACGACGATGGTGAGGGAGATGAAGGTATGTTCGGGGAACTTCCTCCCGGAGATCCAGAAAGCACAATTGCAGGAGTCTTCCAGTACATGATGGGCTTGTTCGACCCAAATAATTACGGCCATGGTACCGGCGCGGGTGGCGACGAATTACCCATGCCTGGAGGTTGGCATGGCGACAACTCGTCTGAGTCGGCCACGGAAGACGACATGCCTGCATTGATACCAGAGTATGGGGATAGTGACGACGAGATGCCCCCGTTATTACCAGCAGATGCGATTAACACCAACGATACGAGCAATGCGGCACCCCAAACGCAACACACTCATGCACCATCCGGGCACTCTGAAGGTGTTGACGATGACGACGACGAAATGCCACCTTTGGTGTAGCACTAGCCATGGCCGACGAGACTTAGGGATCCAGAACTGTGGGTATTGTACATGATCACCTACTGGAAGAACTCGGGAGCAAAACCGAAACTCAAAATAAAATAGGAGAGATTTGCACTGGCAAATTTGCAGTGTAAGTCTCTTACTCGTTGCGGTCCTCACCTCACCTTTACACCAACTATCCGTCACGGTGGTTCGTGCAGGGGAGGCTATGCGAGGACGGGGAGGGATACGTAGATCATAGGGCAATCCTGGTACGGGATGAGTATCCAACCTTGGGTGTTGCTAGCTACGGCCCCTGCATTATATGTACATCTATCTAATGTATTAGGTTAGGTTGCATACCTAGGAAGTCTTCGATAGGTTGCTAATACTACAATGATCGAGGAGTTCATCTGCCTATCTTCAATGTGTTCGTTTTTCCGTGCACTCCTGGTGAGCAAGTTTTCGAAATCGTAATCAAACGTGCGACAGTCCAGGCGATGTTTCATATCTGGACGAAGAGAAAAAGGGGGCACGGATGGGAAACTTGCTCAGGTTTCATATTACCTACCAGAAGCTGGTATTTCTTTGTTAGGCGACGGTAGGTAGCACGCGAAGCACAAGGGCATAGTCGTCAGATGTACCATTACGGTGTGTCGGGCTTGATAAGTGACTTGTAAACTGTGATCAGGAGTATTTTAGTAGTAACCTGCAGCTATAGAATACTGGATAGACTTACGTGTGACGATGCGCCGCACTGTGCTATACTTTTACTGAGTCCTTTGTGCACCTAAGAAGGCGGGGTGATTTGCATCGCAGGTTATTAATCCCGCCTCTGCTTTTCTAGGTAAGTGTAAAAGGGAAAGTTGCTTCCAGATCACGACTTTGCTATTAATAATACAAACTTTTGAGACTGCCGGCCGTGTCACCATACCGGGGAAATTCTATATAATGCGATAACTGTCCTCTTTCTTAGCCCCTAGACATTCGCATTATACAAACAAACAAACCAGCCAAGTCAATCTTTAACGTTCTACATTTCTGCAACCCCACTAAGCAATCGCCCCTCATTTTCTCTCTCGGAAATCCGATCCATCTTTCGCATACCAATATTCGCAATGGCCGACCAGGAGCACACATACAAGTTCAACGTCAGCATGAGCTGCGGCGGTTGCTCGGGCGCCGTCAACCGTGTGCTCGGCAAACTTGAGGGTGAGTCCATCTCCTTTTCCGACTCGTCTGCACCTTCGCGTCCCCTGTGCCCCCGTCGTTATCGTAATCCCGCACTACCCGACATTACTCCTATGTTCACAATCGCGCAATCACCAAACCGATAGTGTATGACTTGCTAACAAATTGGTGTAAAAATAGGCGTCAAGAACTACGACGTTTCTCTCGAGAAGCAAGAAGCTCTGATTGTCGCTGAGCCAGGCCTCGACTACGAGACCGTCCTCAAGACCATCAAGAAGACCGGCAAGAAGGTGAACTCGGGCTTCGCCGACGGCGAGGCTCGCAGTATCGAGTTGACCGAGTAGATACCCGAAACTAAAAACAAACAATGATTGTTCTCTGAAGCACGAGGCCGAGATGGATGGAACGGATCGTGGTGGACGGTCTCCTATTTGTCACTAGAGAGAAAGCAAGCACATACCCAAGCACTTGTCTTCTCGGCTGCTACACAACGCTATCTTTCCTACTGTCACACCCTTCTTGATGAAACGATGGATTATGAGCGTTAGGGGCACGGAGATCATAGAGTCATAAAAGTCTCGGAATTTATAAGCCTAGCATAGATCGATCTTCTCTTACGCTATGCGTCTACGCCCACAATAGAATTACGCCTTTGGTGCGTTATTGATGAACTACATTTTGGTCCACTTGTTATTCTCCGAGTGACTGTGCTTGAGATTTGTCTAGTTGACACTTGGTACACACGTATATCACTGGAGGTCAACCATATCTGCTAGCGTATCTATAATCTATTTGGTCTACTGTCTTGCAAAATGCAGGAGGTGTATGTACCTTGATGGGCTCCGTTCGCCGGTCCTGAGTCCCACCCTAGTGTAGCAAACCGCTCACTTTCCTCCAATGAGCTTGCGCCATTTTCGCTAGAGTCTTCCACTTGGCGTAAGCCTTATGTATTGTCGTTCGGCGTCCGACTTTCACCAGCACCTGGTCCCTCAGATGTCCCAATCATCGCTCCTTGAAAGCGATACCATCTCGATTGGTCTAGTGGTCAGGATACCTGCTTGTCATACATACACTACGCAGGTGGCCGGGGTTCGATTCCCCGATCGAGAGCATTTTTGGAAGGCGCGACGCCAAGATTAACTTTTTGCTTTGCACCTTCTCTTCTCTTTGATTTTCTATTTTTATCTTAAACATTTTCGTGATTGGAAGGTGCATTTTCATTGTGCCATTGAACTTTCATCATCACAATTCTTACATGAGTAGGTAATTTGCATCTCACTTGAATATTCGATATGCGACATATTTAAATTTAACACACTGGGTGTTGAATGGGTTAACGATTTGACGTTACTATTACCTCGCGGAAGTATCATCGGCCTGCGAAGTTGAAGCTATACCTAAAAATGTAATGCTAAAATTTTCAGCCATTTCTGCCTTCACCGATCCGATGAACTCATGATGGAGCACCGAATGAGCTCTATCCTGCTCAGGGTAATACGAGGAAGCGAGCAAAATAATGAACGTCACTATGATTGTTACCGGAGTATCTATCAAAAGGACTCTGCGTAAGTAGTATAGGTTGAGCAGATATATTTGTCACTACCCTGCTGATCGAATATAGCCGCCGGCTAGACGGAAAGCTTAACCCATATATGTCCAATAGTCGGGCTTCCCGAGACCAACCCTCTCGCAGTAGAACCCCATGGAGCAAAGACTAGTTGTGATTTCGGGCATTGAAACCCCGGATATCGTGGAGAATGCTGTGTGGGGTGCAGGCCTCCGTTGCGAAAGAACGCCGTGCTGGTATGAATAGCATATTTCCATTGGTTCGAGGCATCCAAATCTTAGATAGTGGTGCGGATTCTAGAGTCGAAAACCGGGTGACGGAGGTAGAATCGCGCTCATGTGACGGGACTCTGCCTTATGAAGAGTACTCCATCACTGGAGCTCTCAAGAAGCTTCGCCGAGTCGAGCCGTGGCGTTCAACTGCCCTCCGGGCCTGGGTACTTATAGCCCCTGGGATATGACCATGCATGCATAATTATCGTGCAACTGCAGTGTCGATCATCCACGAGTAGTAACGATCTCTTGTCAAGATGGCACTTTCTAACCTCTTGTCCTCTATTATCATTCCCGCTCTCCTATCAGCGGTTAGCGTACAAGCCCATGGTATCGCCAGTGCTATTGTGATAGACAGCACATTGTAAGCAAGTGAAGACCCGAAGACACATGTAGCTGATTGCTAGCGCATAAATAGTTACGATGGCTACAACCCGAGCTACCAGTGGAAGAGTCCACCTCCCACAGTAGTTGGCTGGTCCGTTCCGGATGACTTACAGTACGTTATCATTGTAGCCGCCACGATCATAAGACTTGAGCCTGGCTGACTTTGAAAAACGTAGAAATACCTTCATCTCCCCGGATAAGTTCAACACCCCGGATATGGTATGCCATCTGGGTGCCAAGCCGGCAGGTGCGGCTGCTCCCGTAAAGGGAGGTGATGTGATCGAAGTCCAATGGACCCCGTGGCCGGCTTCGCACAAGGGACCCGTTCTCGACTATCTCGCGAACTGTAACGGTCCTTGCGTAAGTTCATCTTTCCCCCGGCCATAGATCACGGGCCGGGAAAAGAATAAGACTGCTAAAAACTGACTATCACCTAGGAAACTGTCGACAAGACCAAACTCAAGTTCTTTAAGATCGGCGAGGCTGGCTGGGTCGACAAGGCTAGCGACCTGTGGGCAGCTAACGTGCTCACCAACAATAACAACAGCTGGTTCGTCCGAATTCCTGAGGATATTGCCCCAGGCAACTATGTGCTGCGAAACGAGATCATCGCGCTCCACGCCGCGGCCAACGCCAACGGCGCCCAGAGCTATCCCTTCTGCTATAACCTGGCGATTGACAGCAAGGGCACCGCAAACCCTGCCGGCGTAGCTGCGACCGAGTTCTACAAGGCTAACGACCCCGGCATCAAGTTTGATCTGTTCTCGCACCCGACCGGATACGTGATCCCCGGTGTAAGTTGACTCTGACTTTTTCAGTTGTTATTTGCAATGCCATGCCGATGCTAACATGTCGTAGCCGGCCCTATACAGTGGAGCGCTCCCGGTCAGTCAGACAAAGCCGGCCGCCATTACAGCCACGGCTACTGGCGTCTATGCCTTCACTGCCCCGGCGCGTGTGAAGGCGGCGGTTGCGACGACAGCGGCTGCTGCGCCAACCACGTTCGAAGTCGCGGCAAAGGCAGCATCACCAGCAGTTCCAGCAGCTACCCCAGCGTTGTAATGTCGGTGAGGTAGCATGTACCTGGTATCTGGTACGATTGACGGAACATGTGATGTAGCATTATACGATGCGGTCGGATCTTAAAGCAGGTAGTTATTCTCCATGTTGAGATGAGGCTGGGCGATCTATGGTTCGATAATGAAGTAGAATCAATTTAGTATTTGGAATTTTTGCCGACAATGCTACGGTACTAGAGCCTTATGTAGTCCAAATGCCGAATCCATAAACATCGGGGTTGAGTTAGCGTTGCTTGGCCAAGCTTTCTCGCGATGAACATCTCATGGAGTATCATCTCCGTCTTAATTCCCCAAACGTTTCGAACCCGATTCGGCATGATATACGGTGTCAGTGTTAGTGTATCCAGCTGTGATGTGATGGTAGCGTTGTCTTGTGGTGCCAATATAATCCTTTGACATTTCCATAGCTGCATAATACCGTGTTCGGCCCCCATCCTAGCCCCCATCTTAGGTCCCATCCTAGCACACCACGTGCGACTGGCCGTACGAGATCGCACTGATAATCGGAAGATATACTGGTTGTAGTTATGGATATCTGTGCATGCACGTCGGATGGGGCTAGCTAAAACATATTGTAACCTCATTAATTTCTTTGATCCAAAGAACGATGAAACAGCGTAGGGCCGTCGCGATCATCAATACGCAGATGACCCATCCTCTCGGAAATGATGATGAGCCTTGGCACCTCCAGACATCTGCATCGGTTTGCATTGCGTCCAAGCTACCAGGCTACACCCGAATCGGCCGAGACGAAGATACTGCCGGACCAGGGATCAGGGTGGCTCGGGGCTCTTTTAAGTGGTCTTGGCATCTTCGGGGATGGGAGAAAAGCCAGGATCGGATCACGTGGTCGCCAGCGATATTCGGTCGAAGTTCTAGACTTGTCCTACATAGGCATGTACCGGTGCCGCGTTATGTGTTATAAGCAGCGTTACCGTTGATAATAGTAGTCTCAACCGGTGAAAATCCCTGACAGAACGACTCCATTATGGGCTGCCTTTCCCAGTTGCAACACCGACATTAGCTCGATATGACGAGTTAGCTAGCTTAGATCCTCCCAACCGGTACTTCACTTTAATTTTTAATTTTCCGTCCGCCTCGCACTATTTGTACGCCTTTGTCTTAGTTTTGCAACCGATGTTTAAGCCGTCCTGGTCGGTCAGATGTTGCGCTTGATAGCACCTAGACATCTTATCCCCCCGTGGCGATGGTCTGGCTCGGCCTCGCTCACTTCCATGAATCAACTCTGTTCCCATAGGTATTGCTTAGCTCACGCAGTCTGCTGGACTCCGGCCACACATACGGAACCCAATGGACAGCGGGAAGTCGCCGACCTCGGTCAATAGCAGCATCAACAGTCCCGTCTACAGCTTCGTGGCGCCTTCTCGGAGTGTGAAGCGTCCGCGCCCGGTGAAGAGCTGTCTGGAGTGTCGGAAGAGGAAGCTGAAATGCGATCGAGTTTCACCATGCTCTCAGTGCCAAAAGGCTCAACGGGCATGCCGTTATGCGGCCGAGGGCGAGACGGTGAGTCTGAGCGACGGCTCAGAAGCTGAGTCGTCCGAGAGGACTGCTAAGCGCAACCGCCCTGCAATGAATCCGGATCCTAGGCAGGGCAGTGGTGGCGGCGCTAACTATGCTGCTGTACTCGAAGACCATGCGGCTAGGCTTGAACGACTGGAAAGACAACTACTAGCAAGAGCCTCTTCCCTCGCAGAGTCTGGCAATGTATCCGCGCCACGTCCTACTGCGTCGTCGCTCACGATTCGCGGTTTAACGGTGAAAGGAGGTCTACGAACGCGTTTTTTCGGACAAAGTAGTACACGCGTTTTAGTTAATCTCGTGAGTTGTACTTATTTAATATTTGACTTTTATAATGTCATGCCCTAGCTAACTGTTATAGTTTGATGAAGCAAAGGAGTTCATGTTCAGTAGGAACAAGTCCAACGATATCAAAGAATTATTCTTGAGCATCCAGAAAATCCACAGGGCTCTGCAGGACGAGCATCGCAAAGTCACCGCTCCGATCACGGTATTTGTGGACTCGATGACACCGATCCAGAAGCGTATGGCAGATGTTTTACCGAGCAAAGCGGTTTGCGACACGCTCCTCCATATTTACCTAAGTGGATCTGAGACTATCTACCGTGTTCTGCACACTCCTTCATTTTTCAGCCAGTATAATCGGTATTGGGATGGTATCCCTCAACCCGATGCGTTTCTACCCAAACTACTCTCGATCTTGTGTGTCGGATATCGGTTCCTTGGAGCTGGTAAGGGGCAGTATCATGACCGAGAAGGAATCCATATCCCAACGGCTAGCTCTCTTGTAAGAACATGGCTCGATAGCCTCAGGGGAAAGCAACTGGTGGAATTCAGCACACTGCAAGCTGAGATCCTCCAGCTCATGGCTCAGAGAATGATCAACCCGCAAAACCAGGAAACATGGACACATCTGGGTCTTATTGTGCGAATGGCAATGACGATGGGCTTACATCGAGACCCTTCTGAGTTTGGCCAGAAGATATCACCTTTCTGGGCGGAGCAGAGGAGAAAGTTGTGGTATACGATGCTCGAACTCGATGTGCATATGTCTATGCAATGCAATCTCCCTTCTTGTATCCGAGAAGGAGATTTTACCTGTCTACCACCGAGAAACCTCAACGATGACGACATCCACCCTAGCATAGAACAACTTCCTCCTTCGAAACCAATCGACGAACATACTGATGCACGCATCCAGGTGTTTGCTGCTAGTACCATGTCTACGCGCCTCAAGGTTGTCGATATAATCAACCGTACTGATAG